CCCCCCTGACAAGTGGTGCACAAACAAACGTGCTAGAAGCAGACTGACCAACAGTCAATACCTAGCCTCTACAACATTCGCTCGCCGCAGCACAAACGACACACAACGGTCGACGGTCTTCACAACATTCCTCCCACGAGCCAAGAAGCTACACAAACCGCTTTGCCTTGCTCATTCAAGGTTGTTTTCCACGGAACACCCCATGAACAACTCAATTGCCACCCCTTCAAAACGAGTCCAATACAACACCGAGTCGAGCAGTCGAGGTGAAGGTGACGGTGAAGGGGTCGGATGCTGGGATCGTTTCAGCCTTTCTTCCGACCTGTTCCTAAGAGCCCTTCAGCCCATGGCCCGCATGCGGCCCAAAAACGTGCCCCCCCCGGCGTGGTCCTTCTTCTTCATCCCCTTCGCAACCATGGCGCTTGGGGGGCACCGGTCCAATCCGTCGGCCACACAGCTGCGCAGATTGACAGCTGATCGACAGCTCCACAAAGCATGTCTCACAATTAGGAGATATCAGGAGTGTGTCAATCAAAGGGCCTTGATCAATTTCTATCTTGTTTTCTGGTACTGGGAGGTTACTGAGACAAGATATGACCACATGTGCAAAGGTAATAGGGCATCCAAGAATCCACGACCAAAGGTATGAACCAGCTGAAAAACAGTTCATCATCGAACTTCCGGAAGTGCTGGATTTTAAGCTTGAAACCCCGAGGCCCTTCGCAAGGGCCGCAAGGGTTCTCCTTTTGGTGTTCCATTTGTTTATTTACTGTCATTTAGACATATTTAGATGCTTTTGGGTCTTACAGGCGCGGGGTATGGACATAGCTATTGGCTTTTCTTCGCTCCTCTTTCACTCTTTGACGGCGAGAGGAATCACAGGAGCCCCTCGATTTGCTCCCTGGCACCCCCTCTTTGTGGAGGAACATCAAGTGCAGAACCCCTCTGGTTTGTTTTTGGAAAACCCGTTTGGACACGGAAAACCACCTGAGTGTGTTCCCAAAAGTATGAACATCAAACTTCCAACATCTTCAAACCACTTCCGATGCTTCCCTCTGGCTCTCGAGCCCCATGCTGTGCTTGGAATCAAGTTTCAGCAAGTAAAGTACTATTGGTGATACTGATGCTATTTTGAGTAACTTGCTGTGATACAGGCAGATACTCTGACCTCAACATCTGACTGTCAAGCGGGTTGGCCAGCGCACAATTGAATCATGACAGTGTGCCACACCGGTCACTTAGATTCATCAGAGTCCAGAACATGCCCTGAAATGCAGTTTCATTGGAGACTTCGGCACCTGCCAAACACGGCCAAACAGCAGTCAAATTCATGCAAAGAGTCTCCCAAATGCCTGACAGTACTGGGTGGGTGAGGCAACTAGTCTATTTGATGTCCTGAACAATTTGGCACACCCCGCTCCGAACTGTGACGCACCAGGAGTCCAACGCCAGCGGCAGCAGTCTGTAGAGCTTCTTCATTCCTGAGGTTTTGTCGGGTTCAGCTGGAGGTATAAAACAGTCCCATGTTTTGCATCTCTTATATACATAATCTTACATCTTTAATTACTAGTGTGTTTGTCTACTATCCTTCTCTCTATGTATTTGCATGTCTGCGATATGTGTGATGGGCAAAAAAATATCAAGGCGTCGGCTTTGGTTGCCATGTTGTTCTACTTGGCCAAGATAAGGGTTTGAGAAATGGATCATCGTCCTTCAGATTCACTAGCAGGAAAACCACTACTAATGTTAACGGATAACGTATATAAGTTTAAGGGAAGCTGAGACCACGGCCAAGGGAAAGAACATGAAAATCTCTGAGTATGCAATATCTATTAACACATATGAACACTCAGTGGGTCCATCTTGTAAACCCAAACTCGGGAACTGTGCCATCCCCTGTCAAGAAGTATTGCTTTCACAACTCTGACCTGGCAAACCCCGGCTGGGGCTCTGGCTGCCGCAGCAGCAAATGGCTCCGGACCGCATACTTGGTGGCCTCAACACCCGTAACGAGTGCGCAAAATGGTCATCGCTACAAACATGGAAGTGGACAATCCGCTGTAGGGCTGTGGATGTAAACGAGCCCTTTATTGGTCCATTTTCTACTTCCTTGTTTGATGGGATTGTGTTCGGCGGTTTCTTTTTCGTGGCGAGCGGTGGTCGCACAACTGGTAAAAATGCTATCACAAATGCCCAAAGGAATGGTTTCCGACACTCCACCAGCCTTATACAAGCTTTGTATAAAATGTGTGCAGAACTCATTCACAAGAACTTGCAAAGTGACAAAACTGTAATACAAACCCACATCATTCTCAATCCTCCTGCACTTTACCCATGTTCAGTTTCGGACATTGTCATATTGCCTTTGAACTGTTTCGTGCACTTGCCTGGGGGCCTGGAGGGGGATCTCTTTGGGTGAGGTTGGATCTGCAAATGGATGCAAACGGTATCTTTTGACCACCTTCCTTCTTCACCCCATCATCTGGCAAGCCTGGACAACATGCTGAGGACTTGAGCATTACCAGGCGTCTTTGTGACCAAACCTTCCGATGCTTCTCACCATACATCGGAAGTGCTGGAATGATCAGCACACAAACCCGGACATCACATAATAAAATATATAGTTGAATCTTCTTTGAGGAGGTGGAATTCTACGGCGTCTATGGAGCCAGGTCCTTTTGAATTACCCCTCACCAGGTCATGATTCAGGAGGTCCTCAGTGAAGACCCACCAAACCATCCTCAAGAGGACCCCCCCCCATCTTCCCATACAACCGCCTAAAAGAACAAACATGAACAAACCATTCTTTTGCAAAAAAGGCAGGTGCAGTGGAAAGTCGCTACAACCCCTTCCTTCCTTGGTGTGTTCACCATCACCATGCACGTCCTCTTGAGTGCCCCGTCGGCGATCATTCGACCTGAGGCGCGGAACTCTGCGGAACTCAGACGTGGACATCTGTGGAACTCTGAACTCAACATCGTTATTCGCTCTGCATATCTGCAAATCATGGATATTCAATCTCATTTATCATGTACCCGATTTACAAAAAAATTGTAGATATTTGGGGAAAGGTTCAACATGCTTCGCAAGCCTCTTGTGGGGCTTCATTGTTGAGGTTCAGGCTTTCCCCCGCATTCTTGGGTCTGAATTTTCTTTGGAGGTGAGTCCCATGCAAAGAAAACACCCACACACACACAACATATAATTATAGATACAATGATACACAAAAAGGATACAAGTTGCCGTGTTTCTGTTTTTCTTTTTGCCCGGCGCACGGATTTCGGATTTCCCGGTCCTTTAATGAGGGCACGAACCGCGGAAACGGGGACCGCCGTCATGTGGTCCTGATCTGAGGCGGCCGAGCTCTTATCTTGTAGCTCTTCCAAAATCACGCTGGCCTGGCCATCCCACCAAGCCACGGACTGCTCCAAAACAGCCGTTGATGTGTATTGCCCAGTGATTTGAGGGGGCCTGAAAACCCGAAAACCGCGCTCGTTTCTTTCGGGGGCTTCTCCAAAATGCTCCGGTCGATCTTGCCCTTTGACTCACCAAACGAGGCAAGTGCAACAGCCAACAGCACAGCTCTAAAGCTCTAAGCCCTGCCTTGTTGGCCGCTTCTAAGGCAGGTCCACCCATCTCCTGCGATCGACGGGGTAGTCATTGGAAGACCCACGTGCGCCATGGGTTCAGTTGGCAGTGAGTAAACATCATAAACACATACATTAAGACTTCCTGGTTGGTGGATTAACCTGAAAAACACTGTGAGATTCCGTTTTCGCCGTTTTCGCCTCCCCGATGCCTATACGAACTTGATTCATCATGGCAGATTCACTTCTTGTCGTTGGCACCGGGTTCTCATAGGCTCCCCAAGATCCCACCGACTTTTACGGTCCTCTTTCCAAAGCACAAACATGTCTTGGACAGGCACATGACCAAGGCTTTTTGGTCAATGCTTTTGAACATCCTCATGGGATGAATCATGCTGAATCCAAGGACGGCCACCGACGCTGTGGTGACTCTGTGGTCACCAAATCGGGCTGTTGCCTGGCGAGAGGAGCTGGAATATTGGAGTTTCATGGAGTTTCAACAACTGTGTTCCCCTGCGAAAACGGCGAGAGCTGAAGTTTCCTAGATGCCACTGCCCATCCTTGGCCTCACTAATGTCTACAGAATTGTGAGAAATCTTTCTATAGAAAAATGGACTTATTGAGGGTGCTCACGGGGTAGACAAGAAGGAAGGGAATGGTTTACACATGTGTGGAATCGTTTCACTGCAAATGGGGATCACAGGGCTCTTGTGGACTGTCGTGTTGAGGGGAAGATATTGGAAGACTTGCACAAAAGCTCCATTTAAAGTCTTTCTTGTGCACTTAGGAGCGGTTTATATAATACTATATAATCGCTCTTAGAGGCGATCGCTCTTAGGTTGGAGACCATCTCTTCTAGGTTGGAGGCCATCGCTCTTAGGTTGGAGGCCATCTGTTCTAGGTTGGAGGCCCTCGCTCATAGTCTTAAAGTCTTTCTTGTGCTCTTAGGAGCGCTTTATTGACACTTTATTGCTTGGTTCACTTCTCCACACCTGTCGGCTACTCTAGCGACATGGGAGACGTGGGTTTGCTAGTTGGTGCATTTTCCGCCTCGGTTCAACCACATGGTTTGGATGTGGGGTGCCACAACTTAAGAGGGCCCCACACCTGTGAGATCCTGGTCCCCGACCCTCTCGTCCTCATCCTTCACAACCAGCACAACACATATGTTCACGATATTTGCTCCCATCAAAAGGTCCCTATAGAGAAAGCGCGTTTCCCTTGTTCAAATCTTCTTCGGAGGTTTCACTGGTGGTACTCTAGCTGCCCAAACTCCAATGTCACGTACGTGCCCTGAGCCCGAGCCTTTGTCCAACCGTCGCACCGCGAGAAAACACGGCGGCCGTGAGATGCCAGGGATGCCATGAGATGCCAGGCCTGCCATGCATTCAAAGTAGATGGGGCACCCCCAAAAGGTCAGTTCTTCCTTTGACACTGCAAAATGGATCAGCAATATATACCTAGAGCCCATTTGACATCTGTTTTGATAGGAAAAGACAATCTTTTGGGTGGTTGGTGATCCAAAAGAGAGGTCATTCAGGTTCTAGGTATATATACACGCATTATCTGCGTCTAGTTGGCTTCTATTCACCTGTAGCTGCATTGATCCAAAAAAGATGCTCCCGCGCTTCCTTTTTGAGCTACAGTATGTTCCCTGGCCGATTTACAGGCAAACATGAGGGAACCAAAGAAACATCTCTGCAACCAAACATGACACCATAACAACTGGTAGTTCTGCCTATTCCCCGGTCCCCCCCCAAACAACTCGATGCAGCTGTCCCGCTCCAAGCTCGCTCGAAGCTCGATCCCATAATCGAAGCTCGCCTCAGTGACACCGGGAGTGAGACAAGAGCGGGAATGACAACCCACGTCAGATTGAACACATGCAAATTGTAGGGCTCAGCAGGCTGCAATGCATTTGAAAACAGACTCGTGCGACTCGTGCTCTGGCGTTTGCATTCCCACAGATTCCCACCTCTGTGTTGCAACATGTGGCGATGAGCGATGATGAGCGATTGCGCTCGATGGATTGCCGTGGGCCATGTGCTCTCTCACCTAGCAACCGGGGTCTTTTTGAGCCGCCTCGTTGGTGCCAACTCTGCGTGTTCGGAACTGCTACTGCCAAGTGAGGTTCGGTTCACATGCCTCATCAAACGGGGCAGGAGTCGGATTTTTCCAAGGGGGGGAACCTTGCTAGCTGCCCGCCCCATGTCCATGTAGATTTGAGATTGCTACCCTTCAAACAGGAGGCACGTGGCGAACCTCTCATGTCCTTTCAAGGACTCTGGCAGTGTGGCAGATTTCTGAGTCACCCTGTCTGTGGTGCCAAGGACGCACAGCTTCAGAACGAGTCCTTTTTCAGTTCTCAAAGCTGGCTCCTCATATGGCAAATCAAAGGTCACATGGGGGACCAATCAAAAGATCTCAAAATCAATCTTGGAAATGACTGGCGGCTTCTTCATGCGTCAGCTCCAGCCTGAGGGTCACTTCTCTGAATCAATGCCCCGGTCGCATTCATGGGCTCGGGGGTTATATAAAAGCAGGGAAGTGATGGGAAGGTACAATGATCTCCACTTGAAGGCCTTGGCCAATGTTGACCGTTGATGAATACTTATGACTTAAGTTGGAGATGTGAAGAGCCATCCAGTGTCTGGCTTTCAGGAATCAACCGCCGTCAACATTAGAATTAGACCAACAAGCAATCGAAACAATGGAATGGAAAGGATGTTGGGCTTGCACAACGCTCAAATCACAGCAAAGGACCAGCCGAGAAATGGTTTTCTCAGCACACAACGAAAGGTGGATTTGTTTCCTGTCCGCTCAGGCACAGAAAAATGAACCGAATCCTCAATCAATTGGAATATGGCTGCTACAAACAAGCCTCCCTTGATGGTCCAAAGCTGCGGATGGCGGCATTGGGACGGATGGAGTGGAGCGCTGAGTATTGTGAACACAATGCGGTTCGCAAGGGACAACATACTAGGAAGCTACGTTCGGGGCTCCTGGCCTTACTACTGGGAGCAAGGACGCTACTAGGGGCTCCTGGCATCACTACTAGGAGCATTCTTGCTTCTAGTAACAAGAAGCTACTAGGAACAAGTGCATCGCTTCTAGTAACAAGTGCCTTACTAGTAGTAACAATGTTTGCTATTCGAAACAAGAAGTTATGCGCATCACATTTGTACGGATCAGGTTCCCTCGTAGCGTCGACTAAGCAAACTTACTCTCCAAGTATCCCGCCGAAACCACGCCATCACTGAGACAACCACCTTGCTAGCTCTTCTTCCACAACGACCATGCGGTGCTGGTTCTCCCAGCAACTTCGCACTCGCAATCTCATAAAGGTATGGAAAAGAAGATCTGCAAAGTCGCCTCCCCAACTTGGGGAAATTTAAATATTCCCTGTCAAGGTCTCAAGTCTCAAACTGTGAACATCCCCCAATCAAAAATGACCTGCAACAAGAACACGCCACAACATGCTCTGTTGCGACATCTAAGAATCTACGACATCTTGATGTTCCCAAGTGGGTCTTTGAATCGGCTCCTGATATCGTGCCGTTAGAGAGCAGGTCGGCATGGTCGCCACATCTTCAGGAGGCAAAACGGTGAGAGCGTTCCAGCGCAACACGAAAGTCGGGTCCCAGCGTCTCCACATCAAAGGAAATCACACGTTTGCCTTGGCCACAACGCAAAACATCTTGGACAAAATGGAGCGTCAAAACATGATGCAGACACATCTACATCGGTTTCTATGCCGGCAAGTATGGAAAAACATGGAAACACCGAATCTAATCAATCCAACCACATTTCGTTTCAACGTGACCAGGTGTTGAGTGCAGCGCTTTTTCACTGCAAAAAATAACTGGTCGAATCAACCAACTGGGCTGCAAACACACACACACACACGAATTACATGCGAGATATTGTCCCAAATATGTAAGCTAGCGTCAGCCTGTCCACTTCTACTTTGGCCGTGGTTCCTAAGCCACAAGTTTCCGCAATGCCATGGCCAAAAAAAACAGCAGCCATACTTCCACCAACAAAGGGTGCACAAACCGGGGTTCTCAACTGACCCAAATTAAAGCACTAACAGTGCTAACGCACACACAAAAAAGTAATATATAGTAATATAGTATCAGTACAAGTCACCCATAGTCAGTTTCAGTTTCATTTTTTGCATTTCTCTCAGGCACCTTCTGGTTTGCAGTATTTCCCGCTGCCGTGTTTGTTCCCCAAGTGCTGAACCTAATGTTCTTGCTGCTTAGGCTTATTCTCTGCTGTTGGCTTTCGCCGTGTGCTCCGTTCTTTAAACTTTAACTGTTCTGACCTCCATTATCACTCTCAGGAGGCCCACCGTTCCCTCGTTTTTTCCATCCTAGGGTGTGCTTTCGCCATGTTGACCGAACAGCACCTTGATACATGATACAAACAAAATCAAACCACATCCACACTTACTTTGCTTCAAGTGACCCCTGCCATGACATTTCAATCATTTGTTTTCATGCCATGGTGAGGAGGATGGTGCCGTGGTGGTAAGCCTTGTGGCTTTCGATTTTTCTTGTGGGTCCTCGGGCTCGGGGTTGTTAATTTAGTGCTAGGGAGTTCGCGTCGGGGGGGTGTCGCCACGGCCCCCACTTGGCATCCAAAAGTGCTACCCTGTGACCACCTGCCACGCAAAAAGGCACAATGCTGTGGTTGTGTTTGTGTGGTTGTGTGTTCGTGTTTGTGTGTTTGTGGTCATGTGTGTGCGGTTTTGTGATGTGGCCGTGTGTTGTGGTTGTGTGCCTGTTTGTCTGTTTGTGTTTGTGATTGTGTGTTTGTGGTGTGTTTTTGTAGTTGTGCGCTTACGGTTGTGTGCTTGTGATTGTGTTCAGGTGCCCATTGCGATCTGTCGCTTGCGGTTGAGGTCCGTGGCAGGAAGGACCAAGGGAAGGAAGGAGAAGACTATCTTCCAAATCTAAACACAAGTGAGGAAAAACCGACCTTTTCCGCTGCATCACTCTGAGCTGCTACGGCCTTTGACGGACTTCGTCCCAAAGATCTCGTCCGGATCGAGCGACGTCACTCGTTCGCTCCGTTGGCTGCGCTGCCGCACCACGACTCCGGTGGAGGGGACGGAGCTGAGACTCGCAGTCGGGCGCGTGGCAGTGGTGTGCTCCTCCTTGGTTTTCGGAAACGGGCAGAACAACTCTGTCTGGGTGGATTGTCAGTGCATTCGGATTCCTACTTGGGTGCTTGGCACACCTGCGCGTGAACCAATCCTGATCAGCTGCGCAAAAAAAATGGTTGATTGGCTTGACCTTCTAAGAGTTTCCAAACAGTATAGCAACTTAGGAGGATGGTTTGCTCATGTTTGCTCCCCGAGTGAATGTGTTTCTCCACCATGTCTCCATGTCTCAAGCCGCTTGGTGGTAGCCTCTACTTCATGGGAGATGGGTGTTGGGGCATCGGACTGAGGGTGTGTAATTGAACCTTCTTCATCCTTACTCAAAGTTCGACCAAGCCCAATCTTGCCAAAGCAGTTCCAATATGTTCCGCTTTGGGGCGAATACACCATTTTTCTCAGTCGGGGCATATGGGGGTTACGTGCGGCGTGTCTCTTCCAACCAAGCTTCCATGGCTTTCAAACTTGCGGGCCCTGTTCACTTGTTGCTCTATTTGCTCTTGAGCCACAACTGCCGGCCGGAGACTCGGTAGATTAAGACTGTCACAAACATAGCGACCAAACTAGCTCTAACATTATATATGCGTTACTGCATGTGTATATATATATATATATCAAATCCAAAAACACATGTATAGTTATAAAGACGCAGTGACACACTTGGGTGTATCTGGGCATCACTCACACTGTTTCTCATGCGCCGCACCCCAAACATCTTGTCTGCAGGCTGCAAGTGACGTCCTGATCAAACGCTATGCAAATCTTCATAAGTTAGATGATTGGTTCAACCGGGTCCATTGACGGTACCTTCTTCACAGCTGCCCACCAATTCGCATCACAAGGTTTCTCGCCAAGTTTCCGCCACGACCTCCACCACTTCGCTGCCAAAGCTGCTGGAGCCAAGCATGAAAAGCAGCAGCGTTGGGGTCACGCGGACCTCCGGGCTGCAATCCAAATCATCTTTGCCATGTTGTATACCGTGCCTCATGAGGCGACATAAATCCAAAGAGAACGACCCTAAGAACATGCTTAGACATGCTGCCCAGCCACTTCTCAGCGGCTCAGGGGCAAGCCCGCCGCTTCCGCAGTCGGCCAGGGTCGATGGTGGCAGGCGTCGTGCCCTACTGCCCTCTGGCGATGCCAATCGTCTAGGCAATGAACCCAGCTGGTTGACCAAATCTCCTGCAACACTTCCGGACCACGAAACAAACATCCAAACATTTGGGGTGAAACATCAGCGAAGAAGCAAGAAAGCTCCACCAGCCATGCTGGAAAAGCGCTATTTTTCTGCCTGCAATTCTTTCTCGTCATGTGCGAGAAATGGCCCTCAAGGCAACATCAGAAGCAAGCCCGGTCTGCGTACATCAAGAACATGACACCAAGCAGTGACAAAAGGGCTGGAGCGGTTTGACCTGCGTTTTTGTACACATAGAGGTCGTTGGTGAGGGCACAAGTGGTTCCATGGCAACCTCCAAGCACCAATATTGCCCTCCCGAATCCGAAGACGCCACCCGACTGCCAGGAGTAGTCCAAGCCCTGGCAGGGAAACCCCAGGCGCCACCATTTGTCACAAGGCCGGTCTCATTCTGGGCGGTTGTTTTGAACATGTGAGAAACAAGTTTCCAATGAAAAAGCGAATGGTTGAACCCTGTCCCTCAACGAGGTATAGGGTTTAGATGGGTTTAGGGATGGAAACCCACAGTTGCGTGCTCAACGTGGTCAGCGCTTGGTCCCATCGGCGTGGCCGTGCTTTCCGTGGTCTCCGGCGTCGCGGTCCCCCCATGGTTTGTGGGCTGTCGTGGTTCGCGTGGGCAGTGGGCATCGTGGTTCGCATGGTTCTCGTATTTCTCGTGGCTCACTTGGTTTTCATGGTTTGTGAGGTTCTTGTACTTGGCGGGGGTTCATGGGGTTCTTGTGGTGCATGGGGCTCTCCAGGTTTCGGGTGGTTCTCGGGGGTCTCGTGATTTTCGTGATCATGGGCACGAAAATGGCGTGATGCACATGACGACGACGATGATGATGATGAGGAAAATCATGGTAATCAGGAGGGTGAGGATGTTGACGATGATGATGTCAAAGTTTGGAGGCCTGGTAGACCTTGGCAACCTTTCATGAACATGGGGCGACGGCAACAGGAAACTGACTACAACGATCTCTGCGGTTACACCTCGAAGCACTTCATGTTTGGTTTCAGATTGGTTGTACAAATATGGATTTAATTGAAAACGCATGAACATGCGACTTTCAACTTTGAAGGTCTCAAAACAAAACTGTTCGTTCGGTTTAGCTGCTGCCGGGCCGCTGCTTGTCCCCACACACCGTTTGCACTGGGATAGCTGAATTCACTCGTAGACCAGTCCCAATCCCACCTTTTCTGCCAGGCATTGTAGTTCAGGCTCATGGTGGTGGTCGCATTGTAGGCGCTTTGAGGAATCCACCAATCTTGCGTTGAACGCATCCCTCCCATCACCTTCATGCGCTCGTCGTCATCGGGTTCGAGTTCATTGTCGCCCATGTCCCACAAAATCAGCCTTGGCGGCATTGGCGCAAGCTGAACTAAACAAAAACGCAATCAAAGGACAATCCAAGGGCTACACGGTGGGCATAATGCCACTACCGGGAAACAACCGCACGTGTGCCCGCGCTATGGCGGTTGCTCCTGTCGTGGGGACAGGTTTCACTTGCGCACGCAAAAGCGCGCACAAGGTCGACAGTCGAACACACCTGTATGAAGGGGCGATGCCCCAGTTGCGCACGTAAAACCAACTCACTTGCGCACGACTCACTTGTGCACGCAGCGACTCATTGTTCACACAGGCATGTTGCTGCGTTGGAATGGCACCTTCCTCCTCTAACTTGCCTCACAAAAGGTATGCGCAGTTCCTCCACTAAATTTTGCCACCGGGTGGCTCACCAAAGGTATGCACCGTTGCACTGGCACCTTCCTCCTCCAAATTTACTGTCGGATGCTCACGAAAGTAAACCGTTGGAATGGCATCTTCCTTCTCTCAATTTTACCCTCGGGTGGCTCAGAAAAGGTATGCACCGTTGGAACGGCACCTCCTCTAAAGTTTGTCCTCGGGTAGCTCACAAAAGGTATGCTCATCCTCTTAAAGTCACCCTTGAGGTTCTTGGGCATCTGTCTGGCGACTGTCCGCTTTTGAAAAGGAAGGCGCACTCCATTCGAAACAAACTTGTTTGATTTCATCAGCGCTCTTCAATCCCGTGGCGACTTGACGGCTGCCTCCGTCGATTGCTTCTGGTGGACAGGTATATCAGGACCAGGCCCATGTAGCCCCCATTCATCGCACAATAATCATGCCGGACCCCCTTTGCAGATAGGTTGCGCTCGCCGAGTGCACTGTAACAAAGCGCCAGGCTACATCTTTGGAAAACCTTTCTAGCAATCCCGCGCATGCCATCCAGAATTGTCAAAAATAAGGCAAAACGACATCAAAGGCATCAGTGGACGGATGAGCGACAATACTTCATGTCCAAGGCGGTTTGAGTAGAAAAGCCTCCTTGAGCATGTATGAGTTCCTCACACAGGCACCCAGGTCATCTTCCATGTCACCTGCAAAGACTGCGTCATATTCTCTGTCCCAATTCTGTCCCATTCAGGGTCATGATGCCAAATCACCCCCATCAGCACAGTTTCCTTGTCCTCCTCTTAGTCTTGCTTCTGAAAGAGTCTCCCTCTCATCTGCTTTTATATTTTATCTTTCATTTCCTTTTGCCTTTTCTGGCCCTTCTGCCCATAGCATCCAAAAACCCTTCGGCACCATCTTCTGCCCAGAAGCTAGCCACATGCGCCGTCCATTTCGCTTTCATCCGAAACAAGGAACAAGCGTCTTCGACCAGCACCTCTTGTCTGCACCACGGGCCTGTCAACTGAAGTGTTGGTGGGGCAGAATATCCTCATGGATACTGCCCAGAGTTCATCGAGTGCATACTAGTGCAAAGAAACCAAAGTGTTTTGTTTTCTTGGGGAAGGTCGGCAAACCTGACCATTAACAGTGCTACTTTCGTGGCCCTTTCAGGACCTGGAGCTGCTCCGTTCATCATTGTCTGCCTGAATGTGTTGCTGCACTTGGGGATGCAAGTGTGTACGGCATCTAGAATATCCATCCAGCTGCTCATAAGCCATTGAATGTGACATCTTGCCATCCATGGTCTGAGGACACTTCTGAAGTACTGCACACCTGCACCTGGAGGATCATTGGATTTCAGCACATCTCTAGTCTTTATGTAGCACTCTCTTGTTGCTGCTGCTTCTTCATAGGAAAACCACGATTGCTTCCTGTCAAAGGGCGGGGGCACCACTTTGTTGTCACTTGTGTCGTCATAGCTATTGCTCCTGGCTCTCTTCTTGTCACACGTCCATTGACAAATGCTTGTGGCTCACAAGTCCGTATCAGGCTCTTCCCAATCTGTCTGTCCAGCCCATTGCGTCTAAAGACTGCCAGGATCTGGAGTTCGAGAACCAAAGCCCAAACGAAAGGGATTAATGCCGTATGGGCACTACACGCCAATCTACTTGCATGTGTGCGTTGGGGCGCTGCATTCGTTGATGCACCACGATGGTAGCATACTGGCATGCACGGGGCGCTAAGTGTTGAGACGATGTATAACCTTATAGATATTAAAACAAGATATATATATATATATGTAACGGTCCTAATGCACAAATATGATCGCGGCATGCAAAAGAGTTGCCTGCGCAAGCCAAGGTTCAAAGTGTGAAACATCCGCTGCGACCCCGTAGATGAAAGCTTCACAAAGGTTATCGGAGTGCCAGTGCCTGATACTGTCGCCGTTTCAGCGCTTAAAACGTATCTGACAAGAGAAATCTGATCTTTCATTCCCTTACACATCTGTTGTTGTGAATCGTACGTGCTCTACTCCGGAGAGGTCAAATCTAAATTCAAAAGGTTTGAAGTGGTTTAGGCATGGCTAGAAGTCTAAGCTCGCAGAATATGCGGCCAAAGAATTTGCTGGGATGATAGAAAGGCGATTTCTGAAAGCCGAGGCATCGGATTCAGAACCCCATGAGTGTCCTGGGTTTAAACGTCCATGGGTTGTTTCGGGTTTGGTTGGTTTGAATGTCTCATGAGGGCTGCGATCGGAAGTAGGGGCGAATTGAAGCAGCAGTCACAGACCCCTGAAAGCCGCTGGAAGCTACTTTGCTACTAGGAAGGCAACGAATCATTTGTGGAGCTATGAGCATGCCGTCACAATTGAACCTTTACAGTGCCTCTTTTGTTCGACCCATCCTGCCATCGTATTCATGCCGTTATCTATCAGTATGCTTGGTTGTTTCGCGCTGTCAACAATTCGTTTTTGCCTACTACAATGGTTCTGGGTTCTTCAGTCATCATTCTTTCCCTATAATTCATGGTGTGTTATAACCAAAAAACAAAAAAACAAAAAAACAATGTTTTCCAGACTAGTCTGAACATAGCTAGATCTAAGTAGTCCCCCACACATTGTTTTTTTGTTTCCCGAATGCGTAGCGAAGGGTTCTCGTTTAATTCTTGGGGGTCTGGGGGTAGAGTCTTGTTCGCGATCCGTTGTTTCTAAGTTCGCAACCGTCCGCAACCGTTCGCAACCGTCCGCAACCGTCCGCAACCGTCCGCAACCGTCCGCAACCGTTCGCAACCGTTCGCAGTAGGACGCTAAGGCGCTGCCATTGGGGGAAGCTTTTGCAAGTGACTTTTCATGGATGTGTCACGTGTCAGTTTGCGACGCTATTCCATTGTGATTTGCATGAAAATGACATGTCGCGCAAGAAGCGTGATGCATTTCGCTGCACAGGCGCAGTGGTTTGAGAGATCCGCAGTTTACTGCGCAGTTCCATTGGGATTAGCGTTTGGAGAGTCGTGTTTTTGGGGTGTTGGATGTGGCCGT